CGGGCAACAATAACATCAATGTTGGTATCAGCTAAAGTTGACATTAAACTTATACTAACATGACGCCGCAGTTGCTCCTGAACTGCGGGCATGACTACTAGCGCCCGTCGACGTCGGTTCCTGGTCTATTTTGAAATACACACCGTCGTCCTGAGGCAGCACGGAGCCGGTTATTGTTCCGGCACTTCCTCTGATGAGGCCTCGAGATGAGAAAAGAAATAATCCGATGCGTTCACTTCGACTCGACGCCTCTACAAAAACGGTCATTTGACAAGGGTGTGGAGGTCAAAGCCTTTTTACTTTTGGGGTACTCCGTACTCCGTAGTGTGGGATGAATTTAAGCTCTGTGGCTCGCAACTGGATTGGTGGACTAACTATCTGCGCTCAAGAAGTACACACCCCCGCGACCAACCACAAAGATAGAGACACGTCTGATGTGCAAATGCCATGTCTCGAGGACTCGGCCTGACAAAAGCGCAATTGCCAAAACGAAAGAGAGAGACAGGGAAAGAACACGGCACAGCACATCAAAAGATTTCAAATATGCATATTACAAAGCAAGCGAAAAAGAGAAGACGAGACTGATATCAGACACCCTCACGCCACGCCCAGGTACAGAGGATGGTACCTTGTGTTCTGTGCCATTGCAGATTGTGTCAAAACCCGCCTTGGCCCAGTCCCCGCCACTTCTGGGTGAGCGTCGTTGCTCTTCGCTGGTGAAGTGGCGGAACACCGTCTGAACAAGCGGAGCCACAAGGCGGGAGGGGGCACATTGATTGTGGACGCTGGCTTGAGCAACTGCGTGTGTGGCTGCGGCTGGCTTCGAATGTTCACAAGTCTCGCCGACGCGTTGCCGAAGCCATGCAGTTTGAGGGAGGCCTGGCACCTGTTGTAACTGGCCGCTCTCTCCAATATGCAACGGGCGTCTGATTCACCACAACCGCAGAAACGATCTTCTTGCCCAGGGCGAATGCTGGGCTAGTTGATGGGGCTCTGTCTGTGTTTCTGTGAGATGGAGCAACCGATCAGTTGATCAACCGGCCATGCTTGTCGCCCAAGTAGTTACTACAATGCCCATCACATTGCAGCCATCGGAGCACTCAGCATAACTTGGCTTTTCCGGATGCCCATTGCGATGGCACGGATCGTACGGCTACATCAGCTTTTAACGGGAGTGAGTGGCAGTAGGGAAAGGGCATCAGATTGGGAAGTAGGATATGAGAATTGGAGATATCTGCCGCCCTCAAAAGTGAAATCCGTCGCGAGCTTGCATCTTCACTCCAGAGGTTCACAAGGTTGACGGCTCCGACTTTGTTCCACCAAACCTTTTCAACGAAGTGTACGCCTTGCCAGTGGCTCGATTATCTCATTGCCTGTTGTGGTACCATCAGGCGCTCAGTGGAGGCGAGGGATCCTCCTGGTGCCTCGTGGCATCAAAGCACAAGCTGGGGCGGGGGACATGGAGAAACTCGCCGTATTAGGGAAATCGAGGCGACCCTGCCCCCCTGGCAGGTCGTCGTGAGAGGAAGTATGTAGTACTCTGTATGCGGATTAGCTCACGCGGCGCGAGCAATCAACTCTCGTTATTGTACGGAATACCGATCCCGCGACGACTTGGAGTTGAGGTGGGTGCGAACTTGCGAAGGCGGCTTGTTGCCCCTAGCCTGGCCCTTTTGTTCCGCCTCTCCCGGTTATCGTCCGTTGTCACGCTTCTTCACAACTCTGGTCCTCTGGTTGATTCCACATGTGCCCTTTGGAAGCGGCCACGGCCCTTGCTTCTGAAGTCATCCCTGCACCTCCTCGACGACATGTGGCGTACTCCGTATAGGCAGCACCTTTCTCTCATTTCTGGTTTGATCATGGGAAAGGCCCGCCCACCCCGGTTATTTGGCGTCAAGAGCAGCCACTGGAATGTGCAATTGCGCAAAGAGCGTCATAACGGTACAACTGAGAGCCACGGCGGTGCATATCAGCCCCAATCCGAATCCCCTTGTCTCAACGGAGCCCTGGAAGCGAGTATTGTATGAAGCCCATCCTCCATATGCCAACATTGTTGGGTCTATAAGGCTGTGCAGCCTCAGCCCGATGGATGGTTTCTGGAAACTACGCTACCGACCTAGGTATGGTGCGCTGAAAGCCCTGCCTACCGGACCATTCAATTGGACCAGCACCTCTGTTGTGAATAGGTTTCGTCCGCATCTCGCTGTCTTAACTGTCCCATACCATAGTTCAGTTATTGGAACCCCCCTTTTCCCGTAGAGACACATGGCCAGCGCTCTTTGCCTTGCGTGCAGTTTCGAGACGGTGAGAAGACCTGATACAATTTTCAAATGAAACTTCGGACTCAATTCAACTATGTGGACAAAAAGCTCCTTAGCAGCCTGAACGAGACCCCGCGCGTCGAGTCGACATTGCCGGCCAACGCCTGTGCTTTAGTGCTGCAAGTTCTACTATGGTTCGAGCGAGTAATGTTGACAACTATTTCACACGCTCTCTCCAACATCTCCTGCCTATAGTTATCTCTGGTTGCGAGGCAGGTTGGAGTAGCTGCGGACCTGCACTTTGACTGAGTGAGGTCGACCAACTCCTCCAAGGACAGGCCCACAACTACTTAACCGACGTCCCCCAATCAACAATGAGAATTAGTGTTGATTTAACTGCACGCCTCCCTCCATGGTCCCCTTCGTGTTGTCTCGGATATCGCTTGACATCCGGACTTAGGACTTACTATCATATCGACAACTCTGAAGCCACAAGCGGCTGCTGTGGAGCAGTGGATATGCCAGATCAGAAGCAAGCTTCCGCAAAGCCGGCACGAATTGTCATTCTCTGCTACGGCCGGGTTTCTGATAGTTGGCTTGTGGTGATGCCGACGCCCGATGGCTTTGAAGTGGCTGCCGGGTCAGGTCTGACGACTGACGTACGCAAGAATAGATCAAGACTTGTTACTCCGTACAGCATCTGCCGAAGCGTGCCGAGCAGCATTCTCTGCTGGCTCGGGCTGAGTCAGAACCATATCAAAGCATGTGACGGCAACGGAGCAACAGAAGTGGCGCACACGAGGCGACACCGAGACATGGCTTTGTGAGTGACAACTAGGATAAAAGAAACTTTAGCATTAGTCACAATTGCGGCATCTGACCACACTCTCATAATTATGTACAAGGCTTGCCCACTCGTCGTCTCCTTGAACTTTGCGGCACAGTTTCCCAGATCTCTGGGGTGCAACAGCAAAGGCCATGCTCTCCCAGAGCCGACTGTTAACCTCCGGGCTGGGCGCAGCTGATGGTGGTGGTGTCGCTTGCTCATCCAACCATCGAAGTCAATTTAAGGGGCTCAAAGCATGCTATTCCGTCAAGGCAACAACAGCATTAAAGCTACACAACGGCGTCCTCCGTGTAAAGGAGCCAACTAAAAGGATATGCTACGACAGAACAGGAATCATTCGGGGGGCCGGCAATTATGGTTACCAGATATTGTTCCTTGCTCGAATCCTGCTTACCCAAATTTGGTCTGGCAAGCCTCGTGCACTTTTCATCCTAGCTTTCCCTCATGCTTTTTTATTCTGGAGTTGGTACATAATATCCCACTCGCGCCGATGAGTAGATTCAACCTGGCGAAGCGAAAGACAATGGCAGCAAGCACTTTGCCCTTGCTAGCTGTTTACCCACTAGACAACAAAAAAATCTGGCAAGTGATTTGGATTCAATATTCGGTTTTGACCACTTCTCACGGCGGAATTTGTCCAAGCGTACGGAGTACGGGACTGTTTACAAAGTACTGTCAGACACAGACGGAGATAAAACGGGACCATTACAAAGCCATGACAGAACAATGTCTCACAACATACGAAGATGATGTGCCTGCCTCTCCAACTCGACGTGCTATGCTTCAAAAGTACCAATACTGGACATGTCATTTATTGGTTTTAGCCCCCGCCTACTACACTGCAGTGCAACGCTGGCCACGTTTCAACGTGGAGGATGCGATTGGTACCATGAGTATTCGGCCAGCATCAGATGTATGCGATGTGAACTCCGTACATATAGGGTGAAAGCTCGAAGCGGCATGCACAAGACAGCGGTAGTGTTGCTGATCTCACACGAAGGAAGAGTCGCACAAACTGACTTGCCCGTCGCCGCTTGCTCTGGCAAATTTGACGGCACTCATGACATAATCTGCCGTGCGCCTCAAGCCCGTTTCGTGTCATACGTTCCATGTATGTACGCAGCAATAGAAGCCTTCTCGAACCACGTTTTCGGCGCTAGAATTGGATTGAGGGTGCACACTGCACAGCAGCCATCTTGCAGCGTTGCAAGGGGCATTGTGCGACGCAAAGGCTCTGAAAAATGTTGCTGCCACCCATTTAGACGCATGCCGAAGGCTGGAGATGGTGAGAAGCAGACAGATCGCGCTGTCTTCATAAGCGAATGAATTTGTGCGGTAACTTACACGCGATTTATTTCATGAACGGAGAGAGGAGCCCCAAGGACGCAAGGACTAGGAGGAATGAGAGAAGACGGCGTAACGGCCTTGGCGAACCATGGGTTATAGACCTGGTCCATGTTTGTGGGTATTCATTTGTCTGTTGATTCTGCGTATTCTATTGGTACGCAGCCCGGTTGCAGCATGTTGTGACGGTTTTGGAGCCAAAGCCCTTGTCAATAATCTTCACCCCCGATGGTCCTGGCTGTGCTTAGTTTAGATAGAGGTTTCGCCTAACTGGGGTCTCTTCTCTTCTTTTTCTTTTTTGCTATTAGTATGAGATCAGTAGTATCCTCGTTCTTCATGAATTCATTATCTTCGTGACCATGGCTGGGATGGAGCCAAGGTTCCGCCGGGAACGGAAAGTATAGAAATGCCAATTGAGTCAAGAACGACATTAACTAAGATTGTGCGCTGCACGCCAATCGATGTTGATTGATGACAACAATGGGGAAGTGAACCAGCCATGTGCAGCGACCAACGAAGTGAAATGACTCGAAGGGGACCCAATCGTCATGTCCAGATCCGGAGGTGCGAATAGGATTGGCTCTCGGAAGGGAAGGAGCCAATGGTGTCATTGTGTGGCCACTGGTGACAAATCAACGATGAATTTTCCCGAGAGCCACGACGCGATTGCAAAATGAGACGTCAATTGCAGTCCAAGCATTGCTCTCGTCGCCATTCATTGCTCTGATATATATATAGCTGCTGGCGTTCTGTTCTCCTTAGACACTCAATTACGCTCAGTACGGAGTATTGCCGCGTCTCCCAGCTACCACCGCCACCACTTCCCAAAAATCGCTGTCAAATCCACCTCGCATTGTGCACAGTACTTGTCTGCGCATCGATCGCCAGAATCCTTTGGCCAACGACCCACGATCAACCCTGCTGTCCTGTGGGTGCCTCGATTCGGATATCGCTCTGACCAGGCTAACAACTAACTAACTACTACGAGCCAGTGACTCGGACGACCTCTGTCGCAGCGGCCAAACACCGTCAGCATCGCCAGCACCCATCATCAGCACTCCCCGCCGTAATAATATGGCGCGCCCAACTGGTCTCATTGCCTCCAAGGGCATTGAACTGCTCACCTGGAGTACGTCATTCCCCGTAGCATTGTCTTCGCGTCTAGTTATTTTTATTTTCACCCTGTTCTCCGGCGGCCCATTTTGCCCAACACGGCATCTCTCATCTCGTCCTTGCATCCTGGCCCACTGGCTCAAACATCACGAGGGCAAGAAACATGAGATCGACAGGAATAGGGCCATCTACACACCCCTCTCGTTGCATCGCCGCCATGTCGCCTCGTTTAGTTCAGCTCAAGAGCATTAATGTGCAAACTGTACGAGGCAGCTCTTGTGAATGGTGCACCCCATGCAAAATGGGACCTGCGCCCGCATCTTTTCTTTTGTTTGAAAGACGGCTACGTGGACAACGGGCACCAGAGTTTAGACTGTCTGCTTTCGCCACAGCATCGTGCGTCACGAGCCTTCTTGATTTCATTCGGCTGTTGCCCCCTTCGGCCCCCTTTCCCCTTGACAGAGAGACCCTGTGGCTATTAGCTTCTCGAAGTTGGCCAGAAAGTTGGCCGGTGAAACCGCCTGGCCGCCCCCATTCCTACGTCCCATGCGCCTTGGATCTGTTGGCTCTGGCTTCCTCGTGGCTATGCATATGTAACTACATGCCATGCAAGAGGAACTAGAGCCAACAAACAGGCCAACGGGGTCTCGCTTCCGGCCCGGCTGTCGCTCAACGACGAGCGAGATGAGCTGCCACTCCCTGTGGGATGCTCAACTTTGGCGCTCCGTAGAGCTAGTTATGAATTCTCCATTCGTATCTTGTACTCCCGTGTCCCCCACAGCAAGTGCAGATGAGGCAGGTGAGGTACGGGAAGGAGAAAACCCGTCATCCTTTAGTATGCTTTCACACACGCATGAGACATTGTAGGATGGTGGCGTCGAAGAGTTGGAGGAGCAATTGGAATTTCGCCTTGACCCTCGCATTTGAGATCTTCAGAGTGCTGACTTTGTCCACCCCGACCACGTGTAGGCACTCCCAACGGATACAAGGCTAGCATCCTCCTTGAAGAGTTGAAGGAGGCCTACGGGCTTCAGTATACGTCCCAGGGTATCAACATCGGCCAGAATATTCAAAAGGAGCCCTGGTTCACGGCCATTAACCCGAATGGTCGCATTCCCGCCATTGTCGACCATGACCACGGGGATTTGGCTGTTTTTGAGGGCAATGCAATCTTGTCGTACCTGTCTCGCCGATATGATACGGAGAGACGCTTTTCTTTTGCCCCAGACGATGATGACTACACACGTGCAGAGTCTTGGATAGGGTGGCAGCACGGTGGTCTGGGTCCCATGCAGGGGCAAGCCAACCACTTTGTACGATTCGCCAAGGAGAAGATTGCCTACGGAATGCAGCGCTATGTTGGTGAAACGGAACGGCTGTACGGCATCCTCGACGCTCGCCTCAAGGACCGGGACTTCGTCGTAGGCCCGGGACGGGGCAAGTATAGCATCGCCGACATTGCTCTCTTGGGGTGGGTCAACGCCGTCCGAGGCACAACCATTTCCATTGATCAGTTCCCGTCTGTCAAGGCATGGTTGGCACGTTGCTGGGAGCGTCCCGCTGTGCAAAGGGGCTTCCAGATTCCCTCTGCACCGGCGTCCTCAGCCCTCACGCCCCAGGTAGGCGAGGCTGCCGAACAGACCAAGGAGCTTAAGCAATTGGTCGATGAGGCCAAGAAGCAATATGGCTACGTCTATTCGTCGCCATAAGGAAATGGCAGGATTGATGACGAATCCATTGCCCATCATGACCAACGAGGCGTCCGCCCTCCCCACAGTCAAGTTGCATAGGGAACCTTTTTTATAGTACATAGCACGGTGTCGTATAATGAAGAACAAACTATTTGGTTCGCCCAAGACCGGATTCATCTAGACTTGCGTGGATGCCGCGTAGTCGAATGGCATGATGCCCCTTAGCTTTCTGATGGAAAACCTACTTTCCCCTTTCCTTGTTTCCTATAGGCAGGCAGGCGTAGTATTGGGGACGGTTGAGCGGCAGATGACCGAGACGCCAGCGAGGCCCAGACGTTTGGCATTTCTGACAAGTCTAGAACTCGTGGAATCCCGGTCACATCGTGGCCACAGGGCTGATGGGGGGGCGTGCAAAGTATCTCTGGTCGTATGAGTAAGAACGTTATATTACCACGTTTTTGTACCATTTTTGGGGGGGGGGGGGGGGGGGGACCACCTCCCCGGGGAGCACTGCGGAAAAAAGAC